AGAACATACTTGTAAAAAAATTAAGTTAATCGAATATCGTTAATCCTTTCATCCACTCACATTTGCATCTTCAAAAATAAATGATATTGTTATTTAAAGTATTAAAATGAATACAAATGTGAGTGGATGAAAAGGTAAACGATATCCGATTAACTTAATTTTTTTACAGGTATGTTCTACTCAATGCACTCTAAAATGTGAACGGTTTAGTTTATCAAAACGAATCCCGAAATAAGCCCATAAGGCCGCACATCAGGCATGCACCCCAACTCCGAAACATTTGGTAATTCATTTGGTAGAAAATTTGGTATTCCCAGCATTACCCTTTTGGTAATAAGTTCCTCAATTTCAAACTTTATTGCCAAAAGGATAAATTAAAAATATTTAAGTCATTCAGGAAAAAATTCAAAATACGTAATAAATATGACAATAATACCCTTAACTTTTATCATTTTCTTACATTACCCCAACCACCACCGACTATTGTATGCCATCATCGACCACTATCGGCCACCGTTGATCACCCTAGTCGGTGACAATTTTCCAACAACAACCATAGGTCGGCACAAATTTTCCAGCAAGATTCTCTGGTGATAGTAAAATTTTACTATTTACTTTAAACATATAAATAGTGAATTTTTGCCATTGTTATCACTAACCACCACACTTACTATAATTATTACCATTATTCATATAGATATTAAATGAGAAATTAGTCAGAACATTGAATTAATAACGTTAATAGTAAAATTTTACTTTTACACAGAGTAAAATTTTACTTTATATTAGAGTAAAATTTTATTATTTTGCTATTGAACGTACTAAAATAATATTTTCGTTTGAGATCTCAAAATCAATATTCAAACTAAGAATGACAAAAAAAATGCACTAAAATAAAAATATATATACATATATATATATATATATAGAGAGAGAGAGAGAGAGAGAAAGAAAAAGATAGAGAAATAGAGAGATAGAGAGAACACATATATTGTCTCAGATCTGGTTCAAACTAGAATAAAATCTTTCTGTCTAAAAAACAAAGTATCGTGAGGAGACAAAGAGAAAGAGAGAGAAAGATATAGATATGAGATGATGGATATCATATTTTAGGTCGTCTATCTCAAATCTAAGGTCATGGAGGCGAAGAATAACGATAGTGGTTTCCAGTGGTATGGTGGACATCGAATGCCACCAGTGGTTGAGATTGTAGTGGTGAAGACAATGGAGGGAGTGGAAACGGTGGTGGTCATGGTGGTGGTGGTGGTAGTAGTGTAGACAGTGGTAGTGGTAGTGAAGAGAACTCTTAGAGAGAGAGAAAGAGAGAGAGAGAGAGAGAGAGAGAGAGAGAGAGAGTTGGGACAAATTGAGGGAGAGAAAGATAGAGAGAGTGTGTGAAGGGGTAAATTTGTCACACAAAATATAAATCTAAATTTTTTTTTCTTTCTTACAAGATTTCTTTATTTTAGAATTTATGAGCAAAAAAATTAGAGTTTGTCCTTTTCAAGAAAAGGGGCTCCAGGAAGGAGTTATGGCAAAAAATCTCAATTTTTTAAGGGTCATTATCAATTATACTAAATCAACACAATATCAAAACTCAAGAATAAAATTGATACAATTAAAATTACAATGACAAAAGAAAGTTAATTATGGTTTAAGAATAGAATTAATTATGATGTTCAAATGAAAGAAAGGAAATGCAAACGGTACACTAGATCTACTAATTTATTCATTAATCAAACGAGACAGGGAAACAAAATATACAGAAATAGAATACATAAAATTATAAAATAAAATAAAAAATAGACAAGGGGATGGGCCCCACATCTTGTCTATCTTTGTGAAACTAGGACGGAGACTTTTTCAAGTTTAAAATCTTAACTTGACCATCATGTTAGGGTTGTGTGGCCATTACGAATTCTGTTTCAATAATCCAATTCGTTTAACTTGTACGGTTCTTCTTGTATATCATTTTTGAAAAAACACTAAGTCGATCCGATAATTATAATATTTTTATTTTATCACGTTTGTCTCCAAAAAAATCAATGACTAATTTTAAAAATATACTTGTCATTTATTTTTTCAAAGACAAATGTGATAAAATAAAATTATTACGATTATCAAATAAATCTAATTTTTTTTCATGAATGATATACAAGGAAGACTATACAAAAATAACAGTTCAAATCATTCAAATAAGGTCCATGCCAAACATGAGGATGAAGTTTAGATTTTGAAATTGAGAGAAAACACTGAGAGAGGACCTTTATTATCCATTTTGAGCAGTTTGCACATTGCTTGAAATCCTTCTCCCAAGTAGCATGTCCTTAACTAAATGTAGTTCCTTAATCGCCTCAACAATGGCCATTCGTTCTCTTGGTGATTCCTCAGAGCATGCGACTCCAATCCTGAGTATCAAAATTAAGCACTCATGGAATTTTCCTTTTCCTATTTGTTTCCTGGAATTTATGTTGGTTGCTTCCTCCCTGATACAAGTTTCCAATCAACAATCCCCATTACTCTTTCTGGCGAAGCTGTCGCGGATAATTTGTGAAGGGTTAAGACATCTTTAAACATGTCATCAGTTGGTCTTTTTCCTATGAATAATTCTAACAAGAGGATCCCATAGCTATATATATCACCATCGATGGACACTTGATTCCCCATGCCATATTCTGCATTACACATACAATACATATTAAATTCAATCTTCCGCACCATTTATTTCTATGGGTGGAAAAAAAAAAAAAACATACGAAATGTTTTCATGAATTTTTTTTTTATAGAAAAAATATTTTCTTATGTTTGATTATGACCATGAAACTAATGTGCTAGAGATTATAGTAGTGGTAGTACTAGTGTGGGGGTAGTGGCAAGGTGGTTGTCATTGTGATGATGATAGGGGTAGGGCAAAGGTGGCACTAGCAGTGGGTTGGCAATGACTGTAATTGCTGGCAGTAGTGGTGGTGATGGTGATAGTGATAGTCCTATGGCGGTAGACGAGTGATGGCTTTGAAAAAAAACTTCAATCTGAAAAATATTTTTCACCTTTCAAAAGTAAAAACATTTTCTTTCTAAATAATTTTGTTTTCCATTAACCACAAAAAGCAATTTTTGTAGGCTTTCATCTTCTGTTGAACCAAAGGTTAGAAAATGCCAAAAAAAAAAATAATAAAAATCACCTAAACAAACTGATTATTAATTTATACTTACAAATGCATATATATATATATATATATAGACATATAGGTGAATACATCACTCAAAATATAAGGTATATTGTGGATTACCTGGTGCTATATAACCAATAGTTCCTTTGATACCAACAGAGCTGGTTTGGCTTTGAGAAATTTCATTGTTGCAGTGTTGTAAGAGCTTCGCTAAACCAAAATCACCGACATGGGCAGTCATGTCATTGTTGAAAAGAATGTTGCTCGGCTTTATATCACAATGTATGACTGGGATGTGACAATGGTTGTGAAGATAATCCAAAGCATAAGCCACATCAATCGCTATCCCTAATCGTTGAAAAAGGCTTAAACTTTTCGGCTGCTCATTGGCACCACCACCACCTGCTTGTGGAACTAGATGTAACCAACTTTCAAGGCTTCCATTTTCCATGAACTCATATATTAGGGCTTTGAAGTCATTACCTTGGAAATCAACACTTGCACAAACACTGATAATCTCGACGCGGTTTCGATGCCTGATGTTTCTAAGAGTTTTGCATTCAGCTACAAAACTCTTTGAAGCTCCTCTGTTTTGTTGCTCAAGTACCTTCACTGCGATAGGCATTTCATTTGGATGGAGAATTCCTTTGTATACTAAACCAAAGCTTCCTGTACCAATCAAGTTAGTCAAAGAGAACCCATTTGTTGTTTTGAGAAGATTTCCATATGATATTTTCAAAGAAGAATCTATCAAAGAAGATGGCACACAAGATTGCTTTCTCGTTGTTCTAAGCCAACAAAGGATTAGAATAGATGATGCCAAAATGAACCCAAAACCCCATAAACTATGGGAATAATTAACTTTCTCGGTTTTTTAGAAGCACAAGCCGAAAACTATAGTGCAGGTATACCTCCACAAAGCTTGTTATTTCCCGACACTGAAATTGCAGTTGCATTCAGGAACACTCCCCCTACTGGTACCTCTCCCTCAAGATTATTGAAAGAAAGGTGTAAATTCCTCAAAAAGGGAAAGCTTTCTAAAAATTTGGGAATTTCACCTGATAGGTTATTGTGTGAGAGACTTAATTCTTCGATGGCCTTCAAAGAACTCAACGATTGTGGAAAGGTTCCTTCAAATGAATTGTTGTCCAAATAAAGACGTTCCAAAGAAGTGCAACTGCCAAGGCTGCTAGGACTTCCACCAGACAACTTGTTATGAGAAAGATTTAGTTCAACAAGATTTTTCAAGTTACCGACTTCCACAGGGATAGGACCAGTTAGACAGTTTCGAGACAAGTCTAGAGATATTGACAAAGATGAGAGACCAATTACTTTTTGGGGTATGCTACCAAACAGACCATTACCATAAAGATGCAGCAGTATCAAACCTTGGCAATTTCCAAGACTTGAAGGTATGTTTCCTTGAAAATAATTTTCTTCTAACCAAAACCGGTTCAATAGTGTTAAATTTCCAATAAAGGAAGGGATTTCCCCAGACAATTTGTTGTCACTAAAACCCAAGTCTTGAAGCTTAACAAGTTTACCAATAGAGGTCGGAATACTTCCTATCAATTGATTCTCGTCCATAGCTAGAGCATTTAGGCTCACAAGATTTCCAATATCTGCTAGAACGTTTCTAGATATCTGGTTTGCTGCCACTGATAAATGCTCGAGTTTTGTCAAGAAGTTAGCTAAAGAATTCGGTAAAACACCTCCAAAATTATTTTCCTGTAATTGCAACACTCTCAATTTGCTACAATTGGCTAAAGTAGTTAAGAAATTAAGGTCATTGGCATGCCCAGTTCCCAAACCACTCTTATCTAAACTCAATCAAGAGAGATTATTTGGGTTTCCAAAATTAATAGCCACTCCAAGAGAAAATTTGTTAAGCGATAAGTCAAGGTATTTTAGTTTTGAAGCATTTGATATTGAAAATGGAATCGAGCCACTAAATTGGTTTCCCCAAATATTAATCACTTCAACATTTGGCAAAGTGAGGCCTAAATTTTGAGGAAGACTTCCTTCAAGTAAATTACTTGGTGCCTCCAAAGCAATCAATGACGAGATATTATAGATAGATGAAGGAATCACACCTGATAGTTTATTTGAGAAGATAGAAAGATATGTTAAGCTTTTCAGGCCGCCTAGGGATTCTAGAATACTTCCCTCTAACATATTCAAATGCGCCAAGAAACGTTCAAGAGATGAAAGGTTTGCATAAATAGTTGGGATTGCCCCTGTCAAATTGTTGGAATCAATATAAAGTAGCACCAATTGGGATAAGGAGCCAAGCTCTTTAGGAAGATTTCCTATAAACTTGTTGCCTAAATGAAGACTCCTCAAGTCATTGCAATTTGAAAGGTTCGCTGGAATTCGTCCTTCCAACGAGTTACTAGTCAATACCAGAACTTGCAACTTGAATAACCGACCCATTTCATGAGGAATTTCACCTTGAAAGCTGTTGTTTTAGAGGTTAGCAGTTCTAAGGAAACTAAGGTTTCCAATAGAAAGAGATATAGAACCTACTAAATTACGGGACTCTAAACTCAAGGCAATGACCCTCTGATGGCGATGGCCACATAAAACACCTTCCCACTGGCAGAAATGGAGAGAATCATTCCATGAGCTTGTGACTAGCATTGGATCATGAGTTATTTGAGCCTTGATGGAAAAGCAAGGCTAAGTGATCACAACCAACAAAAAACCAAAATAGGGGAGAAAAAGGTCATTTGTCTTACAGGATTTGTGTTTATTGTTTTGGGGGGTTGCTCCTGGTCGGTGAGCCACTTCCAAACTTTCACCAAAATTAAAATATCGTGAACTGCACTAAAAATATAATTAAAAACCAAAATAGGGGAGAAAAAGATAATTTTAGTTATGTGAATTCTTTGACAAAGAACATAGGAAGCTCCTGATATAGAAAACATATGCAAAAAACAAGTAGTTCAAAGGCCACTAAGGTTTGTAAAAGACTCTTGAACTGCACTAAAAATTTAAAAGGATTAAAATTAAAAACACCAAACTTTCACCAAAATTAAAATATCGTGATAAAAAAGGACTGATAAATAGTTTGATGAATGTCTTGAGTATAATATGAATTCAAGTTTCATTCACTTGTTCCCCCCGCCATCAATTTTAGCCTTCATGGTTTAAATCTTACATATGCAAACGCATTGCAGCCTTGATGGCAAAGTCCTCTATATGACAAAAACCATTTATATGCAAATAACTACATGTTTGTGCGAAGGTATGCATCTGGGCCTCCAAAAAGTAGCAAAATTCAACTTCTAAAAGTTGTGGCAGATCATAAACATCAAACATACTGAAATTTAATATTAGATTGAGAACCATATATATATATATATCAAAATACCCCACATGGAGTTGAGGTCACAAAACAAAAATTACAAGCATAGCCCAATTTAATAACAAACTTATCAACCTATGCATGGAAATGAAGATATGTGAGCATCTAAATCAGCTCTGCATAAAAATAAATAAATAAATAAAAATAAAACACAAATGTGAAGATTCCAGTAAAACCCAATTCTAGAGTCATCAAATTTAATAAAGAGCTTCAATTTTCAAACACAAAAACATGAGAAATTATAAGTAACACAATACTAATAATAGTAAAGTACCAGTACCCAATTGGCCTTTCAAAAATATATACCCATGGGCTAAAGATTGAAGAAGAAAAAACAAAGGTCAACAAAATTACCAGGTCAAGAACATCAACAAGGGATTTAATTCCATTTTCATCCATGGAATTGATATGATCCTCCACCCATTTCCCCAAAATCAAATCTAGTTCAAGAAACCCTCTTTGTCTTCTTCTGTATAACAACCTAGATGGACATATAGAGATGGAAATCACCATCAAAATCACCTGAATACTTAATACACAAATGGCATTTTTGTAAAACAAACCTGTTGAATAAACGCCTTTTGCTTTCTTTGTCGGAGAGATCAATATTTAGGGATTTAGTAGAAGAATAAAATCGACAAAACGAACCAACAAAATTCTTGAACAAATAAAAAAGAAAAATAAATTAATAAAATGAATAAAAGGATATATATATATATATATATATAGAGAGAGAGAGAGAGAGAGAGAGAGAGATTGCCTGGAAAGAATCCCATTTGAAACCAGAATGCAAAAGTAACACAGAGCTACCAAGCATGTTACAACAAAGCCAATTGTGGAAATAAAGAACAAGAAAGCCAGTGGTGAAAACTCTGTTGACTGTTGAGTCCAAAACACAATGCTATAGAAAGCTTATCAAACATAATTTGGCAAAATCAAAACTCTAATGTTGTGTTTGGTTGATTGAAATGAAATGGAATGGAATGATCATTCCTATACAATGGTATATTCCGTTTGCAATGTTTAACAGATATGGAAATGAACAATTTGATGGAATCATTCATTTCATTTCATTCCATCGAACCAAAAACTATTTGACAGTGAAAACCTCATTATATCCTAAATTTTGAAAAATTGAAGCTATCAATCTTTAGGGTAAAGTTCTATCAATTAGAGAAAGATCATCCAAAATACGAACAGAGAATCTGTAAAAAGAAAAACATGGTGCTTATACAAATACATGTATGTGTAAGTGTGTGTATATATATATATAAGCATGTATCTATATGCAGTTGAGAAAATAGATGTAAGGGAAGGGTTACTTGAGAGAGAGAGAGAGAGAGAGAGAGAGAGTCGGGCAGAGGGAGAAGGGGCTGGACTGCGAGAGATGGGAGCTTTTTGTGAGTTTGAGTTGTGGAAAAAGATCTTGAGACTGATTGCAAAACAGAAAAGAAGAAATGGAGAAAAGCCTATCATTTCATCGACTGGTTTCCTCTTGCTCCGACTCGATCGGACTCGATCTCGGTCCCTGTCTCGATCCCGATAATCTTGATCCTTCTTCACTCCTCAGTCTCGTAACCCCGTCGATTTATGCAACTCAACCGAACCATCTTCCTCTACAAAATCATTAGAATCAGAATCAAGAAAACCAAAAAAACCATCAAGAAATTTCAAACAAATCGATGCAAGAATCAATGGATTTAGAATTAGATCTGATCCCTGGTGAATCTCTCAAGACGCATGAGGAGACAGAAAACCCTAGATCTAGGACAGAGAGAGAAAACGATAGAGAGAGATGAAGAGAGAAAACAAAATGACGGAAAGAGAAATGGGGGCAGAGGGACACGGAGCACCGCTATTAAGTGGAACATGCGTGTCTTTAATTTCACTTTAGGTTTTGCACAGCGTTTTTCAAAAAAACGTTACCTAAAAAACGTGGTTAAAGACAAATTTTGTTGCAGTGAGAATACCGAAAATAATGACATCAACAATAAAGCAATTCAAAATAAATAAATAAATGAATGATACCCAACATTGGAAAGAGAATAAAATAATTCAGAATTTCATTAATGGTCAAAATTGTTGGGCCATAGGTCTTGCATGTTATTTATAATTATACACAAATATAATCCACTATGAAACAGTCAATAAGACAATTACTAACTAATCACAAAATAAACTTTGCACAAAAAATAAAAAAAAAATCTTAGCCAAACTCAAATTTGTTTATATCAAGAAAAGAAATCTTTTTTAAAAACAGAAATTGTTCAAATAAATCTAGCCACAATCAGAAAATAAATTGTTCAAATAAATCTTTTTGTTCGAATAAATCTTTTTGAAAAACAGTAAAATTGTAAAACTAAAAGCTTAAAAGATGAAATCTAGGAAATCATTCCATAACTGCGGCTGAGCTTTTTGGATATTTTCAATTCAAGAAGATACTGTAGTTAGTAGACGCAAAATGGAGCATTCATCTTCAGGTGTTAAATTGCTTCTGGTGTATCTGCATCATGCAACTTTTGTTTTGTGCATTAGCTTCAGCCCTGGAAATGAAGCAACATCCATATCCAAATCCCAATGCTTTCAAATATTTATCTAGAAAAGCAAGGTCAAATGTGGTCAAACTGAAATTCTAATGCTTGTGTATTAAGGTCTATCAAAACCCCATTAATGCATCCAAAGCTCTCTCAGCAGGCCATTCTCTTTCATTGCTTCCAAAAAGATTTAAGCTCTGAAATTACTCAAATGAATGTTCTATATCACAAGACACACATCTCAAATGGCAATCAACAGCTAAACATGCAACCTAATTGCTTGACTATAACACACAAGGTGGACATGCACATGTTCTATCACACACCAAGATAATAACCTAATTGCTTGACTATAACACACAAGGTGGACATGCACATGTTCTATCACACACCAAGATAATAACCTAATTGCTTGACTATAACACACAACATGGACATGCACATGTTCTATCACACACCAAGATAATGAATGGAAAAAGAAGGGAAAAAAAAAGAAAAAAGTGATTTAGGGAAACATATAGAAGCAATGATGAACAATAATTTTGAATTCGTTGATTTACACATGAATGCCAGAAACAAAATCTTGCTAATTTTACAAGAATACTGAGAAGGAGAAATTCATTGTGCACATTCTTAAAAAAGAGTACACAGTAAGAAATGTTAATCCACTTAGTGGTAATAGTTACAAATGATTGAATCTATGGTTACACCTCCTAAAGTGAAAGTTACAAACCATTATAGTTATGTTATGAACAGTCTCGTGAAAATGTTAGCAGCTCCCTACCAAGAATAAAATAATTAACAATGTTTGATTCATAAAGAAATATCATTAATCATAAGTCACAAGAATAGAACTTGGTTCAACTTAAAGCCACAAGATATGCATTTTTCTTCTAATTACCATAAGTCATAGGTGTTGGTTGAGCAGTCTCTCTCTGGGTGATTCTTAGCTTTTCAGTCCTATTCAATAAACATCATAACAATCTAAACAAAGTAAGTATGTACAACAATGTTCACACCCTGTTTTTTGCCAGATGACAAACGTAGATGGGAATCTGGCTCAAAAATCGTACGCCAGGGCAGCTGAGCTTTTTGGATATTTTCAATTCAATTAATGCTGCATTAAATTCAACACCTATAAACACCTGCTTGATGCTGGCCTAAGTTTTCAGAACTAATCAAGAAGATACTGTAGTTGGTAGTCACAAAATGGAGCATTCATTTTCACACGTCAAATGGTTTTTGGTGTGTGCGCTTCATGGAACTTTTGTTCTGTCATTGAGCTTAGGCCTGGAATTGCTTGCAAGAGCATCCACCTCTGGAAATGAGTCGGATCACTTGGCCTTGCTTACTTTCAAGAGTCATATTATTCAGGATCCACTGCAAATTATGAGCTCATGGAATGACTTGCTCCATTTCTGTAATTGGGTAGGTATTACTTGCAATCCTTCCAACGGAATAGTTATGATTCTGAACCTGGAAGCTCAGAAGCTGGTTGGCTCCATACCATCTTCTGTAGGAAACCTTTCATTGCTCACTGGGATCAACCTGCAAAACAACAGCTTCCACGGTGAAATCCCACCAGAGTTGGGCCGTTTGTTGCACCTGCAACATCTCAATTTGACTGCAAATTCATTAGGTGGAATGATTCCAACAAATCTGACCCATTGTACTGAGCTCAGAATCCTCAAATTGAATTATAATGAGCTCACTGGACCAATACCAGACCAGCTTAGTTCACTTTCAAAATTATTGATTCTGAGCCTAGGTATTAATAGCCTCGCAGGAAAAATCCCAGCTTGGATTGGTAACTTTTCATCACTATTGATTCTCGGACTCACCCAGAACAATCTTGTTGGTAGTATACCAGATGAGCTTGGCCATCTGTCACAACTAGGGATTTTTCAATTGTATGAAAATCAGCTGTCAGGTGTAGTCCCTCCTTCCATTTACAACATCTCTTCCATTTACTACTTCTCGGTTACTCAAAACCATTTACACGGGCAGATACCAATAGACGTTGGCCTTACTCTTCCTAATCTCCAAATTTTTGCTGGTGGTGTCAACAATTTCAAAGGAACCATTCCTGTATCGATATCAAATGCCTCTGGACTCCAGATACTTGACTTTGCTCAATACAATCTCACAGGAACTCTGCCCATGAGTTTAGGAAGGTTAAGAGCCTTGTATTGGCTAAATTTTGATGAAAATGAACTAGGATATGGGAAGAATGGAGAGTTAAATTCTGTAAACTCCCTGGTCAACTGTACAATTCTGTTTAAGTTGGGCATAGCTTGAAACCATTTTGGAGGAGAATTGCCCGGTTCAATAGCCAACCTTTCGACACAGATGGCAAAATTTACAATGGGTTCCAATCTAATATATGGAAACATCCCTTTTGGGATTGGAAACCTAGTCAACTTGAACAATCTAGCAATGGAAGATAACCTTTTCACCGGTAATGTCCCTGATGTTATTGGAAAGCTTCAGAACTTACAAGGATTGTCATTGAATGGTAAAGATTTATCCGGGCCAATTCCACCGCTATTTGGTAACTTAATGAGCTTACCCAAGCTTCTTATGGAGGAGAATGGCTTTGATGGAACTATACCTTCAAGCATCGAAAACTGCTATAACTTGCAAACACTAAATCTGTCCAGGAATAATCTAAGTGGTACTGTACCCATACAAGTTATCGGTCTCTCGTCCCTCTCAATTTCTTTAGACATTTCTTATAATTCTTTGACAGGTCCAATACCATCTGAAGTGGGCAATTTGATAAACCTCATGGAGTTAGATGTGTCAATGAACAACTTCACCGGTGAAATACCCAGCTCCATAGCTAGTTGTACTAGTCTGGAGATCCTCCATATTGAGCATAATATGTTTCAAGGAACAATTTCTCAGTCTTTGCATGCTTTAAGGGTCTACTAGAGATAGATCTTTCACATAATAACTTGTCTAGGAAGATCCCAAGCTTTCTTGGAACATTCTCTCTCAAGAAACTTGATCTTTCTTTCAATGATTTCGAGGGTGAAGTGCCTAAAGAAGGGATCTTTGCGAATACAAGTGCACTTTCAATTATTGGAAACGACAAGCTTTGTGGGGGTATCCCAGAATTACTTTTACCAACATGCTCTAAGAAGCTTCATTCATCAGGAAATCTTCTTGCCCCCAAAGTACTAATCCCTGCAATCACTGCAATCATATTGATATCTATTATGTTTTGTTGTTTGGTTGCATATTTAATGCTGGAAAAATCAAGAACCAGAACTTCAATTGC